AGGGAAGAAAACCTCAGTTAAATTAAATTAATTATAGGTATATATTTAATATTGATAATTGAGCTATGGAGGTTACTCTGAGTGCACGTTTGGTAGCATTGGGTTATACCTTGCCTCTTTTAAGGGTTTCTCCTGTTGGAAGCGCTTGTCTAGCTCAGCAGGTGCCAAACTTGGCCACGGGCAACTCCGCATAGGAGCGCTACGCCTGTTGTTGGCTGCCCTGGAAGGGTCTTGGGGCTGAAACAACACTCAGGAACAAGCTGACGGTTTGGGTGGTCGCATCTGGAAAGAAGCACAAAGCCCGTGTCTGTGCCAGCTTCACACCTTATCCACGGGGGCATCTCTGGCTCGGAGGCCACCCAGCCTGGTTACACCCTACGCCTTCCTTACTCTAGGGTGCACCCAGCAGCACAGCAACACCCAGCCCCACAGCCCCCACCCAGCCCGTGGGGCGGATGCCCTGGCCTGTGGCTCTCCCCAGGTAGGGCCCCGCTGTTGCTGGCAACAAGAGGAGGGGTTTGTCATTTTGTCATCCCTCTGACTCAGGGTGTGAGGTGCTGGGTTCCCTGTACCTCTGACTTCTTCCAGGGCAGAAGCACAGCTCTTGCCTCCACCCTCACAAGCTTTTTCTCCTGTTTGTAACATAGCAGGTGTTATAATAAAGCCCTAGCTTAATCATTCATCTCCAGCTCAGGCATCAGATTATTCCCACCTACAAGGACTGTATTTGCAACTCTCTCATGTATGCCGTGACTCTTAGGAATGAGACTTTTATTTTGGGAACCAGAATGCGGATCTAAACAGCACTGCCGTCTCCTGGAGGAGATAACTTGTCTTTGCTCAAAGACCTAGTTCTGTGCTTGCCTTCTATCACGCAGCACCATTTGGCAGGGGCTGCCTGGTTTATGCGATAGCAGACACTGAATTACTTCAGAAAAACAGAGACATATTCTTTATATAAAAACAAATGACTAATTAAAAATGGTTTTCATTTTGCAGTTCATATTTTCTTGGGATTGTGCCAAATTCTGGAGTCCGTACTCCACACCCTGTCCTTCTGGAGAAATTTGGCTAGGGAAAGCACTGTAAGATTTGTTCCCTTTCCTCTCCCTTACTCTTAAACTCCCTCCCCCCCCTCCCTTCTCCCTTCCTGCAACTGGTAAATTGTGAAGAACAGGAATGTTCCTGGGAAGAAACCCAGGCAGAATCGCATTCAGAACAAGTCAAAGATTTCTTGCATAGCTGAAGCATGTGTTTGCAATCCCCAATTGCTGGAGCAAGTAAGCCCTGCCAGCGCATGTTGTTCCCTTCAGATGTTCTCAGAGAGCTCTAGGCAGTGTCCAGGGCAGTCTGTGGACAGTATTTAGCTGAAGCATTGCTTCTTGGTCTGTCTGCTAATGGTGCCAGGGCCAAAAAGGCTCTTGGCAAAAGGATGGCAAAGAGCCAACCCTACCTTTCCAAGAAGCTGTGTTAGTGAGAGTCAGAACCATTGGTCTGTATGACCTGCCTGAGCCACAAACTGGTCCCATTTGGACCCGTGAGAGTTTGGCTGCTGCTACCACCCTATCACCCCAGGCTTCGGGCAGCTTCTGGGACTGATGCTCTCCAGAATAATTAGCATGTGCCGCCCTGACAAGGTAATGCTCAACAGAGAAGGACAAAGCGATGAGATCCCTAATGGATGTCCAAAAGGTAAATTATAACTGTTGGGAAGCAGCAGATAGACAGCCAGTAACTACAGCCTGCTCTCCCTCCTGCTTGAGAGGTGCCACTGCTCCAGAGGGAATGCAGCTCTTCCAAGAGGTGCCATTTAATGGTTCAAAACTGGAACCTCACAGGGCCAAGAAGGATGGGAGTTGGGGGCTGAGACACTGGTTGGAAAAACACATCTTCAATGGATTTGTGAGGAAGCTTTTGTCCTTGGCACCATGCGGAGCACAGTACATTACAGGAGCAGAAAGTGAGTCCTTGCTCAAAGCTGATGCTGATACTGGGGGAAGGCAGGTTGATGAAAACATCACTTGTCTTTCCAATGACCTTATCATGTGAGCTGAGCCAGCCAAGAGCTGTCTCTCATTCTGTGCTCCTCGTGGTCTGAGCCAACAAGCCTGAACATGCTGTGCTGATATCTGATATCGTTCGGCATTGCATGGCAGTCTCTGAGCATTGCACATGCATCCTTTCAGAACGGGACGATGACACCTCTGTGCTTTGCTGCGCACCGTGTGCCTCCATGCTGGCTCGTCTCACTTCCAAACATGTCCCATCTGATTTTGCAATTTTTTGAATAGAAGGTGCCCCAGGGAAGGCCCTGAGCTTCTGGGCGGAATAGGAGAAACAGAAGAGTCTTCCAAAGCAGTATCTTTGCCCTCAGTAGGTGAGAGGCTGTGCTTAGCCTGGCTCTCCTTCATGCTTCCCAATAGGGTTCCCACGTCTTTACTGGTGTGCGGCAACAATAATGAACAAGTAACACATGGGGGCAGCAGCAGGCTTTGCTTTCTTGTCAGTCCTTGAGTCTGTGCTTGTAGCATCCTTGCAAGGGTCTTGCAGAACTGAGGTGCTTCAAAATTTGAGGGTCACTGTGCTGGGCACAAGTCCAGAGTGACAGCTACAGCTGATCAAACTATGAGAAAAGCATGTTGTAGGAGAGAGGGGCTTTGTAGCCTCATGGGACAGGATGTCAGCACTGAAACCTGTGCTTTTGTCACTGCATCTGGTCCTTCTCCAGTTCCTGCAGTCCCAGCCTAAGCAGTTCTGTGCTCATGTTACAAAGCACACTGAAGTGGCAGACAGTTACAGCATTGTCTGCGATGGCAAATATGGCTGGAGTGAAAATCCCAGGTCTCAGATCAGATCCCTCTGCATCCCATCAGACAAGCCTTGCTGAGCTTGTTGCACTACGGGCAGGATGGATCCCAGCATGTCCCTTTCAGTAAGGTGAAATTAAAAAAAGATGTTCTTATCTGACTGCACCCTGAAGAAAGACACAGGTCTCACCTGACATCATTTATTCTCTCGGACACTCTGAATGTTCAGGTAATGGGAAAAAGCCTTGATCTTGACTCTGAAGGTTTTAAAAGCCACGTTTTCAGGGTAGGAACATTTTAGTCAGGGAAGTGGCCATAATTTACATAGCAAGGCTCTGGGATTTTCTGGCAGGGCTATTTCCAGAACAGGGTGTCTTTCCCTGCTCTGGGTGAGAAGTTCAGGAGTTGCTTCTGCACCTGATATTTGCCTGATCACTCACATCAGTGCTCCCCATTGTGGGAGTAATGTGGCATCTGAGTGGTATTGGCCCAGGTTGAAGCTGGAAAAGGCGAGAAATAAAAAAGCCAGCAAGAGCCATCTCAGTTACCAGAAATAATGATGGATTAATTATAAAAAGGGATGGGAAACAGAACAGTCCTGTGCTCCATGAGTAATTAAAAAAAAAAAAAAGTCAGATAAATGACCAGATAGGAAAAGCATTTTCTGTAACTGAGGCTGCTACTTTAATTGGAAAGTGCTGTTAACACAACTGCCTGACTGAGGCGAGTGCAATAGCACAGCAGGGCTGTTGCAAATCTGCAAGTAAACAGCTGAATTGCATCTCTCAGCTTCAATCTGCAAATTTCTGAAGCCAAAAGAACAGCTTTAAATTTAAAACTTCTGTTGGAGCTCATGCTTCAATTGGGCTATGTGCCAGGACATGCAAAGACTTAGGGCATTAAGAGTCTCATGTAGATGAAAAGACAGTGGGGAGTCATTTGAGTTGGCTAGTAATGTACTAAGCTATAGCAGGATCTGCCTTCATTCCCTTTAAACCAACTTGTGGGGAGGAAAATTGAGAAAACTGACATTTTATCACTTGTAATTGTTACAGCAAAAGCTAAGGCTAAGCATGGCCCTGAGACAACTCCTGTGTCCTGCACACAGCGCAACAGAAGGGTCCCATCCCCAAGCTGGCTCTGCCCTTTCAGTAACTGGGCTGTGAAGCAGCCCCTGAAAATGCCCCAAACCACTAACAGACCCCCTGAGGACACATGAGCCGCTCTACTGGCTGTTGTTTTCTAGTCACTTCAAACCATGATCTCAAGCAACATTTAACCACGGAGTAACAGCACAGGTTTGCCCTTACTCTTGTTCTTCCAAGAAGCTCGAAATGCTTTCCAAAGCCGCAGCCAAGCAATGCTATAGTGGTTCCTCTGCTCTTGCACAGCAGTCCCCTGAGTTACGGAGAAGCGAACTGATTCACCCAAGGCTGCACAACATGTTGGCGTGTCAGCACAGCCCAGATCCCAGCTTTCTGGGAAGCTGGGGTGAGCATGCATTAAGGAATGAATGATGTGTCTGGCTGTCGAGAAAGACTTAGAAAAGCTGCAATTGCAAACTGTGAACGGTAGCAAAGTGACACAGACACTAGCAGCATGATCACCAGGTACCAAAGCAAGCACAACTAGCCAAATTGGTTTCATGTAACGAAAAGGAAGAAGAGCAGAACAATGTCTTTTACTATGTGGGCTGTGTCCCTGCTGGTTAACGCTGCAGCTCCCTCCACAGCCAGGCCTTAGATGGACAGGCTGAGAATAATTACCAGGAGTCTATGCAATCTTTTGCTGGGACTTTTCACTGCCAGAAGCTACTTTACAATATTCCCAACCGTTTCCCTAAGTATCCAACAGATTGGACAAAATTAAAGAAACGTGGTCTTAGGCTTCAAGGCCACTGTGAAGTCACTAATTGGGTTCCCAGCTGAGCTGAATGCAAGGAAGAACATTGTTAGCAATAAACACAGACAAATCTTCCCGAATTGGAGCTGTGGAATGGGTATGTGCTTCTGGGGAAACCTTTGCCTTCCCTCTGGACCATGTTCACCATGAGGAGAGGGGTCCCAGTGGGCAGTGGGGGCTTCTATCATAGGGCCAGGGACCTTCTCAGATGATAGGAGAAAAAAAAGACACAAAAAAAGACACAAGGTGGGGGCCAGGGTCACAGTTCAGTCTCACCATGTAGACACTAACCTTGCAGGGAAAACTTTGAAGGCCTGGATGCAAGAAGGGAGATTCACCAGGGTCTCCTCCATGAGAAGTTGGCTCCTCATGCCTGTGAGGAGATTGTCAGCATGGCACGTGGGTGCACAGGAGAATGTTGGCCATGATGCTTGGTCTTTACCAGGATCCTGGGGAAGCCGTGCCAGGACCCTGTGCTGCCTCCTGGAGTGCTAAAATCAGAGCAAGTACAAGGGAAAGAAAAGAAGGGGGAAGAGGAACTTTTAGAAGTAAAGAGACAAATGAGCAGATGAACAGTACAAAGTGTCTCAGATGAGACTTTACCAGCAACAGAATGAATACCACAGAGAACCAGGTGGCAGTGGATCAGATTATTCCTTAAAATCCCCATCACCTCATTCCTTAAAATTAAAACCACACAAATACTGAGGTCTTGCTGAAAGCAAAGCACCGTCCCCTCATCTCATTGTTACGTGTAACTCAGAGCCTGCGGATAGCAGCTACACTGAATTAACATGAGCAAAAGCAGCTGGACTGACTTTGCTAATGGAGAAAAAAATTCACAAGCATGCTGTTAAGAAAGAATGAGCGCTAATTCTCTCTGCTTGTTCTGATTCATTTTGTTTGATTGTGCTTGCCCTAGGAAACATGAGAGCTGGTGGAGATCATATTAGCAAAGAAAATAGAAGAGCAACAAGTTGATAGTTTAGAGTTCATGAAAACATTGTGCCAGTCACTGAACCAGAAAAAAAAAGTTGGCTCAGAGGCAGTCACTAAGTTGAGAAAGGATCTATTGATAAGATACTCTTGGGGAACAATCTCAGAATGATGTGAAATACAGATGGGAAATGGTGCTGCAGAGATAAGCTAAGCAATCAGGAGAGAATAGTGCATCATTTGGGTTTTTTCTTTGCTTTCCTCCCCATTCTTCCCCATTTATTACTAGAAGAAAAAGTATTTTTGCCTGTAAAAATCTCTGTGCTTAAAGAGGTAACACTGGGGTGCGCTCCTGCACCAGCACTGAACTTCTGGGTAGCTTTGCTTCAAGTTGCTGCAGAAAATCATAGTAAAGCTATTAGCTGTGGTTCTCCACATGATCAATGTTATCTTGACTTTAAGCATCTACACTTTCAAACTCCTTGCTTGTGGGGAAAAAATATATCACAACGGTTTCAACTTACCAGAAAGCCGCTCCCACCAGGTACTCTTTGTGGAAATGTATAAGGAGCAAGATGAAGTCCCAGGTGGCCAGAGAACACAAGCTATGGCTAGCCAGGAGGAGAAAGTGCTGTTAAAGAGAGGCGAGGAAAATCAGGGCAGCTTCTTGGTCCAGGAGATAAACCTTCATGCCTTTTTTAACAGATGTGATGCATTTACAGATGTTCCCAGAAAGGGGCAGTAGAGACCAAACCCACGCAACGAATAGAAAGAAGTGTCCTGATCGGGGAGAAATATAAATGAAGAACGAGAAATATTTACAGTATTTCTTTCCCTTGGCATACAGAGGCTCCACCATGTGTCCATTCAAATAAAAAAAACAGGACCTGTGTAGGCCAAAATGGGGCTGCTTGGTATAACCCAATGATCCCAATCCACCCTGAGATCACTTCCTTCACCTCCTTTTCAGAGGAGGGCACTAACCCTGCCCAAATGCAGATGCTGTGTGGGTTGCAAGAGCTGTGTAGCTCTTATAGTGGGGAGCACTATATAATGCACTACTTAACGCTTATGTCACTATAGCAGCATAGCAAGCTTTGAGTTGGCTTATTAGAAGGGGGAACAATAATAATTTGGGAAAGGTTTACTATCAGGTTCATGAATACCTACACCACAGCTCATCACTAACAAACTTTGGCTTCCAACTAACCTTGAAAGAGAGGAGATGAGAGAAAAAGGGGTGCTTAAAATATCAAGATTCCCAATAGTTCATGTTGGTGTGAAGGTGTGAAGCAGGGAAGCCCATCCCTGGACCATCTTTACAATTTCTTCAGGCACTCTTGTACCACTCAGAGTTAATTTCAGAGCTGATTCAAACCACTGTCTGAAGGAAAAAGCACAGTTATTTACCTGGAGCAAATCCCATATGTTTTACTTCATTTAAGCCACTTACCCCAGCCCTGTGCTATTTCTTTATGCCATTTGCTTGCACTGTCCAGGATCCACAATAGAGGGGATGATTTTGTGAGTGCAGATGTCCAGGAGCTCCAGTGATGGAACAATATGGCAGGCATAAACCATGCAGCCAGTCTTTTCCTCAAAGTGTTTCTGGCCTGAGAATAAGATTTGAAAACATGAAAGCAAACAGGGGGCAATGTGGGGTGAGAACTCAGCTATCTGCAGCAGAGGAGCTGAGGCAGCAACAGCTTTATCAGGAAACCAAGAACCGTTTCTGGTCCTGCTCTCAGCATAGCTCAACACACCAGCAAATCTGGCTGCAGACTGAAATCTTGGCTTCCCCTGAAGCCAATGGCAAACATCCCACTGGCTTCAGTGGGAGCAGGACTTCATGCCAGATCTCGTGCTTCCCATTCCTTTGCCGTAGCCATGAGAGCAAGCTTCCCTTCCAAAGCTGTGTCTGCAGCTAGGGCCTTCAGGAACAGAAGAATGGTTCTCCTTGCAACCTGGGAAGTATCAATGGGAAATGAAAGACCTTTTTAACAGAAACGCCGATTGTCCTAGACAACAACTTGCTTAGAGTTATGGGGGTCTCTGGAACCCCATTTCTTTCTCTCTGAAATTTTCCCCTCAGGCTTTAGCTGCCCACAGGTTGCACAGCAGCTCGAGCACACAGCTTTTGGGTGTGATGAGAACACTAGTGGGAGAAATGGTATGATCTGGGTTATGCAGCCCGCAACACTCATCTCGCCCAGTTTTAACATCCCTCATTCCATACCTGCCCATATAGCAGTACTTATACATAGTGTGACTTACAGCAACACAGCAAACAGGCAGAAGAAGACTGAGTTGGCCCATTTCTGCTTTTTTCACAACACAGTTGACGAGGAGATAAAGAAAGGGACGCTGGAAGAGCTGTGCAGTGACCACACAGGGCTCTGCGTTTGCTCTGGCATGAGCATCTCTCTGCTGAGATGAGCATCTTGAGATCTCCAAGCTATTTGTGAGGTGGCAAGGTCACGGCTCTCATTTCCTGCAAATCTTTGCTTTTCTTGGCAAAAATAAAGAATTTTGTTAGGGATGTCTTGGTGGGTGTTTTGTGATCAGTCAAGCACAGTAGATTACATTACTGGAGGGTGTATACAGGACCTCCTGTCTTCTAGACATAGTAAAATGAGTCTGTTTGCTCCAGAAATTCAGGAGTCACCAGCATGGTGCTGACCACCTGTATTATTTCTTGGGTCACACAGCATGTCTACTGGACAGATTGATGTCTGTACAGCTGACTGTTTGCATATCAATTCTAGAGGCAAAGGAAATTCTTCAAATCCCAGAGCACAAATGTGGACTGCTACAGAAAAGCAGGTGGAGATGTGCCAAGTTACAGCTCCTCAGTTGCTACCCCCATGAAGAATGCCCTGCAAGGAAAACTAGAAAATATTTCATGAAAGAGCAAAGATAACACAGGACTATCTGGCAAAGGGTAGAATTTAATATTAATGGCTTTCCTTTAGTCACTGTATTTCCTGTTCCTAACTTAACCTTCTAAAATCAGCAATGGTCAGAGAAGGGCTATAAACTTTTGCACATCTAAAAGGTCTTTCACTGAAAGATCTCGGAGCACTCTGCAAATATTAGGGACTGCTGAGGGATGGCTATCCCCTGAGGACACCGCCCATGTAGCCAACAGGCAGATGCTCCTTTGGCTGCAGCGGCCAAAAACTGAAATTCGGCTTCTGCCCTGCTCTGCAAGAACATAGTCCTTCTTTGTCTCCCCATTCTTCACAGGAAACCAGGAAGCGAGAGGAGTTGGGCTCCCCTTGAATTCGCACTCCAGATTCAGTGTGAGAAGCCCCTTCCCCATGGACGGATGGGTAAGAGATACACAGCAGTGATGTGACCGGTCTCATTTCAGACTGTCAGCCGCTTTAAGATCTTGTCCCTGGAGGTCCTCAGGGTTACATGGAGACTACTCATGGCTGTGCAGGGCTCAGCTGCTGGCATATCTAAACATCTCCACTAAACAACAGCACACTGAAGCTTGCTTTGGAAGTGAGCTGGACTAGCCCCATCTCCCCATCCTTCCCTGCCAACTGGTCCTTGCCTGGAGGGCTCCAAGTATTAGTCAACGCTGATAAGAGATGCACAACATGGCTCCTCTGAGTCTCACGGTTCTTCGGTCAGAGATCCTTCTGTGCCACCCACATCTTCCTTTAACCTGGCAAAGTACCTGAATTACTGAGCTGACTTGCCAAGAGACATTTAGGCTGGAAACATCTCTAGAAAGATGGCTCTCATTAAGGGCTGAAGCCTGCAAAAGAGCACAGTGCTGGCTGGGACACATACTGGGGAGAGAAGCGTTAGTCATCACCTGCCTTGCGTTCGGCCCTTCGGACAGTCTCGTCTCTTGGAAGATGCACTGTTTTGCCTGTATGACTGTTGGCAGAAAGTAATAAGCAGAGCTGGTTGAAAATTTTCCATCAAAACAATATTTCTGTTTTGCCAGAAGACAGTTTAAAAATTAAGTGGAAAAATTAGAGAAAAGAGCTTGGGTTTTGGCTGACGTTGTTGGTCAAAAAAATCCTAAACTTGAGATTTTTTAGCCAAAAATGGAAGCATTTGGGGTAAGACAGGGGGAGAAAGGGGAGGAGCCTGGCAGGCCTTAACGATACCCTGAAAAACATCTAAGAAAATTTTGATAAATATGAGGATGTTTTTGTCATTTTTTTTTCCATTGTGAAAGATACTTCTGCTTTTAGAACTATTCTATGGGAAGGCTGGAAAACAAACAAGCAAATACGCTTTTTCTTTCTTATACATATGGCTATAGATACTCCACGGCTTGTAGCATCAGCATAGTCAGCAATTCCTCTAGAGAGATACATAAGAAAGATGAGATCTCTCATAGGAGCTGCCTAAAAGCCTACTACCCGAAAGCTGTAATTCTCAGAAAGGGACACACACACAGCTGATTCTGCTGTGAGTTTGTACAGCTGATGGAAAGCCTCGATAACCTCACAGTTGCCTTGCGTACAAATAAACCAAGCCATGGGGACAGCCAGGGAAAAGGCACTGCTTGCGAAGAAAGGTACTGTGCATACAGCTGTTGCAAAACCATCCGTACTTAATAGCCAGCCAGCCACAGGCAATGTTGTTGCTAAAAGCATTGCAGAGAGAATGGCGTATAAATACCTGGGAACCCACAGAAAGCTGTTTTCCATCTTGCTTACACAATAATGTGGTTTTTCTTTTTCCCCTTTAAAATTGTTTCTTCAGCAAAACATGGTTGGGAAAAAAAAAAAAACAGCTGAAATCTTCTTTACCCTCTGGGAAATGTGACTAACAGTATTTCTTGGGCTCAGTGTCACAGCCCCCTCCTCAAGGTATTGTTGGCTGGTGTTGTGAAACGGTGGGGGAAGAAGCTGTGAGCAAGAGCGGCTGAAGAGACAAGCAGACTGGTAGTTCAGCAGGACCCTCCTTCCTCAACACAAACCTGGGCATAAAGCAGAGGTGATGGCGCTGGAGCCAACACAGAGCAAGCGGCACTGAAGGTGAATCAGCTCTGTGAGAAAAGCAAGATGTGACATGTTGTTATTAGGCAGTGGGGAGCAGGGGAGGTTCGATTTATAGTGATTTCCTGAGGAATTAGACCATGATTCTGGACAGGATTTGTATTTTAAACAACACTTAATTTTTTTAAAGGATTAATTCAATCTAGATGTGGATTTCATACCTTTTCCTTAATGAGAACGACACCGGGGGAAGCACGCTCAGAAGTACTGACGTGTCCTGGCAGGGGCTCCGACCGCTGCAACTCGCCTTGCTGACAGCCAGAGCTTGACTCTTGTCCCACGACAGCCCCGGGTTACAGTCCCAGCAACTTCCACCACAAGCAGCTCTGGCTCGGAGCCGCCGAAGTGATAAAAGACTTCTTGTGCGATCATCTCAGGAGGAAAGTTTGGTGCCAAACAAAGCTGCAGTCTGGTTGGGTCTTTTTGCCATTAGAGACAAAATCAAGGGGAAAAATACAGAGCTGGGAAAATAAATGGAAGCTGAAAAATGTTCAAATAATGTATTTTCCAAGAAAATAAAAAAAAAAACAAACCCACCCCAGAATGGCTTGTCTGGCTTTGCTGGCTAGGCCGTGGTTGCACTGATCTTTGTGCAACCTAAAGATCCTGTTAGAGGATACCCCTTTTTCATCAATTCATCAACAGTCTGAATAGTTTCACTGCCTGTCTCCAGGATGGCTGCACAATGATGTTGTAGTAGGCAGTGACCTTACAGAAAACTGTCAGTGATCTTTCAACAGCTGATGCTTTTTGGGGTAGCGGAGCCAGCCGCCCAGACTGGAGTGCTACCAGCAATCTCCTCCTGCTGAACAAATGAGCATTTCCCTCTCTGCCAGCCCACATTTTGAGCAGTATCCAAGGCTTAGGGCTGGATCTTGCAGCCCAATTTCTGTAAGGGGCATCTCTGAAGTGATGTGAATTTTACCCTTTGCTACTTCCAATAACAAAAAATATGTCTGAGGATATAAAACCAGTGGGGAATATCCCTTTCCCTCCCCTGCCAGTGCAGTAACCGCAGTACAGGCTTACTCACTCAATTCAGAAGCGGCCTATGTTCATCCCCATGCTTTTTCAGATCGCTGCTGGCAAGAACCCCAGCTAGCTGCTTTGGGAATCTGCCTTTTCCCCAGGACCACCTGCAGTCTGCAAGATCTTGAGAGAAGGACCATTTCTTTGGGCATGGCCTTCCAGCATCCATATGTCTGGGTGTAGACTCTGTCACTTCACAAAGAACATTGAATCATCATAAAAGGCCTCAGAACAAAAACCAAAAGTGAGGGGAGTCATAAGGCTACTACAAGAGTATGGTGAGAAAAATATTTTTCTTCAGAGGTCTGAGGGAAGAGATTAAATGCACTTGAGCAGATGAGGGAAGGTATTTTGTATAGACTGCAAAAGTGGCGGAGTTTCTGGTGGGTGCAAAGCAAGTTTGTGGGGAGAAAGCAGCTGCAAGCAGAGCAAGAAGGGAAAGGGACAATGATCATGCAGGGATGGCAAGGCCATGAAGTGTGCCTGTGGGAAATAAAGGAGGAAGGACAAGGCAGGCATCTCTGGAGTTACACTGAGGCTGCTATAAGCCCTGGGAGCTCAGGAGAGGCTGGGGACACCAGGGGTGCGAGGGCTCACCTGGAGACTGAGCTGTGCCAGGAGCTGCCCCACATGCCGGTGTCCTGTGGGCTCCATCACGGCGAGCGTGCAGAGTCGCTGTCTCCCGAGGTTGAGGAGGATGCCAAGGTCTGTGCCATGACCCAGACAAGTCACACTGGAGGCTCCAGCTCCACCCAGGCCACAGAGGGATGAAAGGATGAAACACCCAAACAGGAGCCTTTCACAGCCAACGGAGAGGAGCCGAGGGAAACCACAACTTTCAAGAAAGCTTGGCTGCTTCTCTCCAGCCCAGCGGCCGAGGTGGATACCTACCCCAGGCCATGTGGACCCGGCCAGTGTCTCGGCTGTGGTAATACGTAGGGAACACATGTGCAAGCCCCAGACATCAGCTGCAGGACTCTGCTAATTGGGAAAGTCTGTCTGAGTGTCTGGCCACCATTTGGCAGTCACGGCAACTCTGACAAAATAATAAATGTGGTACAGTGCAGCCTCCAGGCATTCTTTGTGGGGTCTGTCACATGAAAGTGGCATGAAAGGAGACGAGGAGATGCAAGACACATGGGGATCAGCTTTGGAGACTCTCCGATTACCTTCTGGGTAGTTACTGCTAAGGGGAGTTTGTGGTCCCTCTCTGCTTATATTGTCTCTTGTTTAAACTCTCCTTTTATAAACAGACAGTTATTCCCATCCAAAGTGAAGATGCTTCAGTCTTACTTGTCCAAGGCAGTTACACTGTAGGAAAGTCTCTCTCCAGGCAGACTGTTCCATTTCTGAAGAGCACGAAGAGAAGCCAGAGACATGATAAAAGGACAAAAAAAATGCACACAGAAAAGATAACTGGTCTTTGTGTATTAGCAGCATCCAAGGAACTCTTGTCTTCCTACTGACCTGCCTCCAAATCAAGATAAACAGAAGGATGTCGAAGTGCAAGTGGTATGGAGAAGTATTATCAAACATATTCAGCACAGGTCCAAGTACTCAAAGAAGAAAGGCGGTTCAGGGGCAGCTCCCACAGCCTGCCTGTGTCTGGGTGCACTGTATTCATACAGCAGCAGGACAGCAAGTGAGGCAAGTAGCTTGCCAGCAAGTAGGTTACCAGGGCTTCGTTTCTTACACCGTCAGAGGCGTGAGTGCATTGAATGTGAGTGCATCTGGCATGGTTCTTCTCTGCCTGGAACTCCACAGCACACTGGTGTCTGTGCCATCACTCTTCAATAAGCAGAAAATATACTTTTCCCAATGGACCATGTGGTGTTGGGAAAAGCACAAAGCAACACGTGGTTTTCACTCTACCAGCAAAGCAAGGTCCTCCAACAGCAGTACTCTGGATGATACATGGGGCTGATGCCAGGGTAAGGTGATCCATATTGAGCTTTCTGGAAAGAAATTTCCTTCCAGTGAAAGCAGGGTCCCACCACCTTGCTGCAAGGGACCAAGAGACAGCTAAGTCTGCCGTGTACACCAGGACTTGCAAGACGGTGAAGGAAGCAGGTGGAGTTGGTGGAGGCAGAACTGATCAGCTGAGGAGGGACCATACTTTCCTCCTGGTACTTCTATGCCAGAGCACCAGAGCCATCTGACCTCACCTGCCTTTAATGATCTTGGCTGAGGCGTCTTAAATAAAAAGACGACTGAGATCCCAGGGAAGGACAATGGCTTCAAATCATCTGGTTTCTTGGTTAGAAGATGGGGATTAGGAATAAGAGTAAAACAGCAAACTGCTACGTGCAAAATAGGCAAACTAAGTATATAAGCCTACTGGATTTATAGAAGAGATATTGGCACATACCAGGAAAATTTCAAGCCAAATGTATGACAGCATTCCTTACACCCCTCCCACCCATTGCCATATCCCAGCTTAATGTAAAGCCCTTTGGCTTCCAAAGGCTTATAGCTATGTTTTATTGTTTAAACAGGTCAACAATTGCAATCATATGTTGACTCCAGGCAATACACAAACACGATGATGTGTTAATATACAGCAACACTTGGATGGAGTTTCTATGATTTTGCTGCTGTTAACAGTCATACGTATGATGGCAGCTGGGCTGGTATCTCCTAAGGCTACCTCTGAAAACTAGGAAGCCTATCAGTGTTGTGCCGTTACCAAGAAGCCAGCGTGAGATCAGTAAATGAGCTCTATTTTTAATATAAGCATAAACTCCATTTCTGGAAATCATTTTGGGAGGAGGACTCCCACATCAACCGTACTTCGGTTTGTTTTTAAGGCTGCTTTAGAAAGGTGCTGCTCCCATCTCCAAGAAGTGTCCTTTTAACAAGAATTGAGGTGTAATGGGATCTGGGTGATGGCATCTTTGTAAGAGAGGATGGGAGATGATCCTACAGGTATATAACTGTGTGCAGCCGTCTGCAAAAAACACCTCCACCATGCTGAGGGAGGAGTTAAATAGTACAAAGATTCTGGCTAGTGCCTACAACAAAGACATCCAAAACACTTGGCACTGAAGTAATTCTGTTTATTTCACACCAGGGAAGTGTGCAGCTAGGTTATGTAGATACCTTTCCAATGGATGGGATAGTTTTGCTCCAATATAAATTTCCACATGCTCAGCAGTCTTCATTATCAGGTTGCGCCTGTGGAGCAGCTACCATTAAACATACAGCAAGCTGCCACTTCATCTCAGCTCCAACACACATTGAAA